TTGTTTAAAAATGTTTCAAACTAAAAAAAACTGTTTTAAATTTGTTTAAAAGTGTTTCAAACAAGAAAAGAAGGTTTCAAACTTGTTAAAAATCGCTTCAAACTAGAAAAACCGTTCTTAACCTGTTGGAAATTGTTTGAATCTAAAAAAACTGTTTTAACTTGGTTATAATTGTTTCAAACTAGAAAAAATTGTTTTAAACATGTTTAAGAGTATTTCAATGTTTCAGAGTATTTTAAACATAAAAAAACCGTTTTAAACTTGTTTAATAGTGTTTCAAACCATAGAAATCCATTTTAAACCGGTTTAAAATTGCTTCCATCTAGAAAAAATCGTTTTGAACTTGTTTATAATTTTATCAAACCAGCAAAACTGTTTTAAACTTGTTCGAAATAGTTTCAAAGTAGAAAACCTTTTTAAACTTATTCGAAATTGTTTCAAACCAGAAAACACTTTTTAAATTTGTTTAAAAGTATTTCAAAAAGAAAAGGCCGTTCATATCTTGTTTAAAATCATTTTAAACTCGTTTAAAATTGTTTGAAACTAGAAAAAACCGTTTTAAACTTGTTTAATAGTGTTTCAAACTAGAAAAACTGTTTAAACTTGTTTAAAATTGTTTCATACTAAAAGAAAACTGTTTTAAACTATCAAGAACCATTTTAAACTTGTTTACAAGTGTTTCAATCCGAAAAAACCGTTTTAAATTTGTTTAAAAGTGTTTCAAAAAGAAAAGACTGTTCAAAACATGTTCAAAATCGTTTCAAACTCAAAATATCGTTTTAAACTCGTTTTAAATTGTTTCAAACTAAAAAAAAAACCATTTTAAACTTGTTTACAAGTGTTTCAAACCAGAAAAACCGTTTTAAATTTGATTAAAATGTGACAAAAAGAAAAGACTGCTCAAAACATGTTCAAAATCGTTTCAAACTCGAAATATCGTTTTAAACTCGTTTTAAATTGTTTCAAACTAAAAAAACCATTTTAAACTTGTTTACAAGTGTTTCAAACCAGAAAACCCGTTTTAAATTTGATTAAAATGTGACAAAAAGAAAAGACCGTTCGAAACTTGTTCAAAATACTTTTAAACTAGAAAAAACCATTTTAAACTTGTTTAACAGTGTTACAAACAAGAAAAATCGTTTCAAACATGTTTAAAATTGTTTCATACTAAACAAATCTGTTTTAAACTAGAAAAACCATTTTAAACTTGTTTAATAGGGTTTTAAACTAGAAAAACCGTTTTTATCGAAGTGAAAGTAAGCACGAAATTAGGTACGTAAAAAAATTGCACGTATTATTTGGTTACTGCGAAAGTGTAAGGAAAAAAAGTTTATTTTTTTTAATTTTGAAGTTATATATATTTCTTATGCGGAGGAAGAGACAAATTCTGTTCCAGTGTAGATAAAATGTTTCCGTTTGTTGATTTCGCAAAGGGTCACTTTCGAGTTCTGACCTATAATATATAGGTATGAAATGGGAAATTGTCGAGAGAAAGATGTATGCGGACCGGAAAGGTTACCATAGCCGGAAGCCATTAGAATCCCTCTAATTTCTTTACGATTCCCAATGCCATTGGTCACGCTCCTACTAGCACTGCGGACAATGTTTTATATATCATCAAAATCGATTCGTTTTGCCTACTTTATTATATATATATATATCTCAATGTATATCCTAAGATTTCTTTTTTGCAATTTACTGCGTTTTTGAAGCAATTTTAAACAGAATTATTATAGGTTTAAAACAGTTTGAAACAAGTTAAAAATAGTAAAAAAAAGTTCAAAACAGTTTCAAACACTTTTAAAAAATTTAGAACTTTTTTAGTTTAAAACATTTTTAAACAAGTTTAAAACAGTTTTTTAAAAACAGTTTTTTAGTATGAAACATGTTAAACAAGTTTAAAACTGGTTTTCTATAGTTTGAAACACTATTAAAAAGTTTAAAACGGTTTTTTCTAGTTTCGAACAATTTTAAACAAGTCCAAAACTGCTTTTCTATTTTCAAACAATTTTGAACATGTTTTGTACAGGCTTTTGTTTTTGAAACACTTTTAAACAAGTTCAAAATGGGTTTTTCAGGATTAAAACAGTTTTTTTATAGTATGCAACAATTTTAAACAAGTTTAAAACGGTTTTTCTAGTTTGAAACACTGTTAAACAAGTTTAAAATGGTTTTTTCTAGTTTCAAACAATTTTAAACTGGTTTGAATCGGTTTTTTCAGATTTGTAATACTTTTAAACGTGCGATTTTATTTACGTAATTTTCCTTCATTTTCATGGACATTTTCACTTTGACATTATATTTTCACTATTAATTTCACTTTCATTTTCAACGGACATTGTAGTTTTTCCTCTTTCATTTGTTTAAGAAGACAAAAAAATTTTTTGGATACCTAATTTTTTTTACTATGGAAAATAACTCAGTTTTTACAAAATTTCCAAATAATATGTATTCTTTTTCAGTATGTTTGTATTTTTTTTTTTTTTTTTTTTTTTTTTTTTTTTGACGTGATACGAGAAGTCAAAGTTGCATAGTGAATGGTTGGTTGAATATATGGTTGTTTCACGAATGGAGAACTGAAAATCGTTGGTGTGTAACGTAATTGTTTTTGACGCGGTAATTTTACAGTGTCATGAATACACCTCCAAACGTCTGTCCATTCGCTCATGGAACCCCGGGCCACAAAAGCCGCGAAGAGAGCGCATCGTCGTCGTCGTCATCATCGTTGTCGTGATAACCACTTGCTTTTCCTTCTCATCGCAGAAAAAAAAATTCCCTCTCTCTCTTTCTACTTTCTCACTGCTCACGCTTTTCTTACTTGACAGCCCCACCAATCAGGGTCCATCAACACAAGATAGACGCCGGTTGTCTGTCATGATTCTTGTGTATACACCGCATACATCGAAAGTTTTCTTGCCTTTAGCACACTTTTAATATTACATTCACAAACACAGTCTTACAATGAAGGGTGCAATCTCAATACATAGTAATTTATATTCTTTCTTAATTACACTTATAACTTTAGTAGGAGATAAAAAAAATTTTCAAAGAAAAGAAAATAAGGAGAAATCGGTATAGCAATTTAAAAAAAATTTTGTTTAAATTAAAAAAATTTTATTTAAATTGAAAAAATTTTTTTAAATTTAAGTTAATGATACAATTTACAAAGTAGAACGTGAAAAGATAAAATATTCGTGTTAAAAAACTTTGAAAATAAGTTTAAAACATTGGTGCGTACTTAGCGCGCGGTTACAATAGAGACAAACACACTCATTGGTTATAAGTTTGCTTCTTGAATGTGTCTCTTTGCTTCTTAATTCCATTATGTGCAGTAATAATGATAATAATATCGTATATGGCAAGCAGGCACTGCTAATGTCGTCACGTTAGGTAGTTATAGTCATCCGGTTCCATAATAAAAGGGTCGGTATGTGGAGGAAGCCCTTCAACGTAAATGTCAACCCTTGCCGTAAAAGCGAGTATAGTTTTGCTGTAATAAAAGCATCCACATTTTCCCCCCACATGCGAGAAATTTTATTAAGGAGATCCCAAAAAGTGAGGTTATTATTTTACAAACAACGAAAATATAATGATACTCATACACTTGATATTGAATATATATTTCTTGTGGGGAAAAATTAGTGAAATAAAAATTGAATATACATAATGATACGAAATATTAAAGACAATGAATTTGATGCCATTACATTGCCACAATATTGCCATTATATAACTACAATAATGTTATAATATGGACATTATATTGCCATTCTATTTCCATAATATTGTCCTAATATTGCCAATATTTTGCCATAATATTGTACTAATATTGCCATTACATATACACAATAATGTCCTAATATTGACAATATATTGCCATAATATTGTCCTATTATTGTCTTTGTATTGCCATTATATTGTCCTAATAGTTCCATTATATTGTTTTAATGTTGCCTTTATATTGCCATTTTATTGACATATAATATTGTTTTTATATTGCCATTATATTGTCCTTATATTGTCCTAATAGTGCCATTATATTGTCCGAAGATTGACATTATATTGCCATTATATTGTTCTAATGTTTCCTTTATATTGCCATAATATTGTCCGAATAGTGCCATTATATTGTCCTAATATTGTCTTTATATTGCAATTATATTGTCCTAAAAGTGCTATTATATTGTTCTAATAATGACATTATATTAACTTAATATTGCCCTAATATTGTCCTAATATTGCCATTACTTTGCCCTAATATTGTAGTAATATTGCCATTACATATATATAATTATGTCCTAATATTGCCATAATATTGTCCTAATATTGTCTTTATATTGCTATTATTACGTTCTAATATTGCAATAATATTGTCTTTATATTGCCATTATATTGTCCTAATAGTAAAATAATATTGTCCTAAAATTGTCTTTATATTGTCCTAATATTGTCCTAATAGTGCCATTATATTGTCCTAATATTGCCATTATATTGTCCTTATATTGTCCTAATAGTGCCATTATATTGTCCGAAGATTGACATTATATTGCCATTATATTGTTCTAATGTTTCCTTTATATTGCCATAATATTGTCCGAATAGTGCCATTATATTGTCCTAATATTGTCTTTATATTGCAATTATATTGTCCTAAAAGTGCTATTATATTGTTCTAATAATGACATTATATTAACTTAATATTGCCCTAATATTGTCCTAATATTGCCATTACTTTGCCCTAATATTGTAGTAATATTGCCATTACATATATATAATTATGTCCTAATATTGCCATAATATTGTCCTAATATTGTCTTTATATTGCTATTATTTCGTTCTAATATTGCAATAATATTGTCTTTATATTGCCATTATATTGTCCTAATAGTAAAATAATATTGTCCTAAAATTGTCTTTATATTGTCCTAATATTGTCCTAATAGTGCCATTATACAAGGTGATCTGAAAATCGTATTCAAAATTGTAGAATTAGATTCAGAAAAAAATTCTAAGACAGCACTTTTTCTTTTTTTTATGAAATTCTAAATAGTTTTAAAATAAATTCAAATTAAATGGATTGAAAAGTCACGATAAATGTAAAGCATTTGAACACCATTTTTGTTATGCGGCAAACTTCTCTATAAAAAAAGTAAACAGAAGGAGTGGCTGTCTTTTCTTCTGCCGTGCAAAACTTAAGTGACATTTTAAACTTGTGTTTACGTTACATTATTTTATTATAATTATTACAATTATTCCCGTGCACCCTGCCACGCGGAGCAGTACATTACGGGTTTGTTATATAATAATAATAAAAATTACATTTATCAATAATGTAAACAATAAACTATGAAGTTTATCAAAATAAAAGAATAATTGCATCTTGCATAATATTCTGATTATATTTATAGAGGCAGTTCAAACAGACAAAAATAAAAATCAATATGTTTTGTCTTGTCCAGTGGGTTTCTAAAAAATCTATAAGTGTTGTTGGAAAGGAGCAAATTGTAAAAAAGAATCAAAATTTGGCGACTGTGGTTTGGTACGGGAAAACGTATAAAGCAAAAATAATTGCTTCTAACGGTTTGTGATAAATATTTTTTCAATATTTTCTTTAATTTTTTAAATTAATTATCTAAAAATATTATATGATAATCAATGAAATAATTTTCCTCACAAAATTTAAAACACAAAAAAACCTTTTATTATAAAATGTTTTGTTTAAAGTATTTAGAAATTTTTAATGTCTTTTGACATTTTCCACGACTATTTTTGTAGATATTTGCGAATTTCTACATTACCAACAAAAAAAAATTGTATTTTAAAATTCTACTTTTTTTCTAGAATCTTTAAAAATTTTCCCATATTTTTTAGGTTATTTATCATTCTTGGTTTCTGTATTAGAACCTTAAAAAGTCAGTAAAATTATCAACTTAAAAAAAAATGCATAAACAAAATTTTTCTTTTTAAGCTCTTTATCACTCGGAATTGAATTTAAATAAATTAATTTCTTCTCACGATGAGTAGTATTTTCAATACGTTTGCAATTATATATTTTTCTTTTTATTTTACAAAATCTTCGTTTTGTAGTTCAGTCTCGCTGAAATCGCTTAATATAAATTAAGCGATTTCAGCAAAACTCGTCTAAGTCATTTTCGTCCTGTCCAGACCCGTCTGTCTTCTATGAAACTCGTGGACCTATAAATATTCCACAATGGTAGAGGCGACACTGTTTTGGGGGGCCCAAAAATGCATTGAAATATAACAGTTTACACAAGAGAAAATAATTAAATAATTAAAAAATAATATTACATTTAAATAATTAATTTTTAATAAGATGTAGTCAATTTAAAAAATGTAGTGCATTTATATTACTTTTTCAGAAAACATGGAGACTTTCTTCGCTTCGAATATCAATAAAATCGTAAAACCGAGAATTGACTTATAAATTAATAAAATAAAATGAAAAAAATTGTAGACGTAACAGAAGGAAAACGAATCTTGTCAGAAAAAATCGAAATGTGTAAAAGAAGACAATTATTGAAGAAGGAGAGAAAGAAGAAGTTAATAATAAGATTATATAGTTTTTAAATTTTATTTTTGAAATAAATTGAATATATTTTGGAAAATTTAATGAATAAAAAATAATAAAATAAAGATGAATACATAAAAAAATACAAATAAGATTTTTAACAGTTAAGAACAACATTTAACTCTCGCTGATTGAATGGCTTAAAGCCTCGTGGGTTTTATGTGTAAAAAGTGATACTTTATTTGCCTAAAACAGGTGTAAAAATGAAAAACTTTTTTCTTGTCCAAAGAGTAAAACAATATATATATAGAGGATGACGCTGACTCTGACGTTAACGATGAGATTGTCGCTGTTGCTGAACGATTTTGAAATTTTTGCATCAGAATTTATTCTCCAATTTTTTTCTTCTTTACCAGAAGGTATTAAGTCACTGTTGCTGCTCTGCAATTTTATTACGACAGATTTCATTTTGTTTTCCTTAATTTTCTTATAGAATTTTAACTTTTTTCTATTTTATTTTGTTTTCCTTAATTTTCTTATAGAATTTTAATTTTTTTATATTTATGACACAAGAATTGTGACGTGCAATAATAAAATATTAATATAATAAAATAGCAAGCTTTCAAAATAAAAATTTTTAGTGTTTATAAACTTTATAACTGTATTATAAAGATTTTAAAAAAATATATTTTTAATGAAAAAGTCACTTTTAAAGATATAAAGAAAAGATTAATTTAAAAAATTTCTGACTATAAGGAATGGAAAGTTCTAGAAGAAAGAAGAGAACGAAATTGAATTGACTCGACATTAACAGAAGGAAGAAAACTAAAAAAAGACAAAGTTGGAATTTAATTATTAAAGGAAAATAAAATTTTATTTTTAAATAAACGTTCATTTTATTTTTAAATAAATTTAAATCATTTTGAAAATTTTAAAGTTATAATTAATGTAAAAGTAATTAAATTTTTTTGCCCTCCACACTGGCTTGCTTTAAAACTTCAAGGGTTTCCAGTGAAACTAATAAAATATTTGACAGGGTTGAAGAAATTTCTTTTAAAACTGCCAAATTTTCCTCATGCATTGCCCTCAATTCTGCAGTCATATCTCGATTTTGGTACTGAAATAAATATAAAAATACAGTTATATTTTAATTTTATTTTTTTAATTTATTTTATCTAAACTTAAATTACTGAAAAGAATTTTAATGAAATTAAAGGAAGAGTCGACTTTTGTCTTAGGAAATATGATTTAAGAAATAATGATTAAGAGGGAGTTAGTATCAGAATTTGAACCTGTTTTTCGAGGTACTACTGCACTTTAGAATTTAAGAAAAAACAATTTTTCTTTTATTGTTTTTTAACTCCTTAAGGCTTAAAAAAACACTTCCTAAAGTGCTCATAACCAATTGTCAATAATAAAAATAAAGTTTTTAAAAAGTATATTTATATATACTGAAAAGGAAGATGGTCTTGACGTTTCTGGTGACGTTGACGACTGCGTTGATAACTTTTTCAGCTGGTCGAGGAGAACACTTCCACCACTCTTCGGTAGTAGTTTTCGAGCAGGTTGCTGGCCACTGATGATAGTCTAGGATTAATAATTTTCAATTTAATATAATAATTAAACTTGACATATATTTTCAATACAACAATTTAAAACATAATCATATAAAATTTCAATTACTAAAAAATTGTTAAATAAAAAATCCTTTTTTTCTGCAATTTTTTTTAATTGCCCTTAACTATAAAACAAAATTTCCAACATTTTTTGGGAATCAAAATTTTTTATTTTTATCTTAATTAATAATTTGCTAAAAAAATAATTTTTTATTTTTAAACTCGACTTTATTTAAAAATAAAGCTTATAGGAATATTTTGTTTTGTAGTTAGTTTGGAAAAATCTATTTAAAAAATTAAAAATTTATATTTAATTAAACTATGCCTAACCTTTACTTGTTTTGATGGTGGTGATTCAAATGAATCAGATTCATCTCCTGATGACATGGAGCAAAGTAGCCCTTTTAATTAACGGTGATTTCCGCTCTCTTTTTATGACAATCTGTAAGAAAAAGAACAATTAAACTACAAATTCCATTAATTAGGGAATTTTTATTTAAAAAAGTGTTAAGGTAGATAATATTTTGAAAATATGTGCTAAAATTTAAAAAATTTAATTTTTAAATTGGTAAGAAAGTGGAATTTTAATTGTAATGAACTATTTAATGTTTAACTTATATAATTTTTAAATTATTACCATTCGGAATGATTAAATTTCTAAAAAGTATGGTGTTAATTTAGATGAGTTGTATTATAAAGTAAATTAAAAATTTTAAGTATTTACTCACACTTGTTGAATTATTTGCGCTATCCTTTTTTTCGCTTTATATTAATGGCAACAATCTTTCCTCTAAATCGTTTAGCGGAGTTCCTTTTGTGCTTTTATTTATATTTGCTTTGTTCAGGGGTACCAATTTTTTTCCAGTAATTTGATATCTAAATTTATTTTAGATTATTAAAATTACAAAAATTATTCTTGATAATTTTAGATAATTTGTTTCTTTAAAAAAATTTTTAAATCCATAGAATTGATAATATATCCATAAAATCTTCAGTAAAGCTTGTGAAAAATTCATCCTAAACAGTCTAACTATGTCATTTATTTTAACCACTCTAGAGAAAGAAAAGGGGAATTTTGTTCTTTTAGGAACATAATTCAAATTTTGTAAAGAATTTTGTTATTTTTAAAGATAATAATTGAATGTTTGAAGTGCATTGCAGAAATAGGTGTCTTTTTAAATATCTAAAAATAAAATGAAAGATGGAAAAATGGTATCTTACACCTTAAAATAAAATGTTTTCTAAAGTATCTTATAGAAATCTAAGATGCTTTATATATTTTAACAGTGATAAAAATATTTTTCCCATCTCAGAAATGTAAGTTTCTTCAGCTAGTTAATTAAAATATCTTAAATTAAGATATTTCTGGTGCAATAAGATGTTTAGCGATAAGTTAGTTGTGAATTGTAAGATGAAAAATAAATGTAATTCACTAAAAACTAAGATTCGTGAAGTATTTTACATATAAGTCCAAAGTTAACCTCAAAACTTTTTTCAAAAAAATATGCTAAAAATGCGTAACGAAGATACTTTAAACATCTTAAATTAAGATATTTAAAGAAACAAAAAAAATTTCTACCAAAACATCTTAAATTAGGATACTTCTTTTTGCAGTGTAAGATCTAAAATAGTAGAAATAAAAAAATGTCTTTGATAATTAAATGGCTAAAAATTGACAGGCTCTTGAAGTAAAAGAAGGAGAAAGAAATAAAGACACAGGGAAAAATAGAAAAAAATATAAAACGTGCAATTCTTGTTGACGAAGAAAGGTCTACCTAAATAATAAAATAAGGACAAATTTAAAGAACGGCTCGATACTAAAATTGAGGACGTATTTTTGAGAAGTTTTAAAATAAAAATAAGAACGTATTTAAGGACTAGAACGATAATAAAAAGAGGAAGTACTTTAGGACATTGTCGATAATAAAATCAGAAGATATTTGAGGACTAGCTCGATAATAAAAATAAGAACTAGCTTTAATATTAAAAACGAGGACGTATTTGAGGAATAGATTGATAATAAAAAAGGCGACGTATTAGAGGACTAGCTTGATAATAAAAATGAGGACGTACTTAAGAACTAGCTTGATAATAAAATTGAGGACGCGTTTGAGGACTAGCTTTAATAATAAAGACGAGTACGTATTTGAGGACTAGCTTGATAATAAAAACGAGGACGTAATTGAGGACTAGCTTGATAATAAAAATGAGGATGTATTTGAGGACTAGCTTGATAATAAAAATGAGGACGCGTTTGAGGACTAGCTTGATAATAAAAATGAGGACGTATTTGAGGACTAGCTTGATAATAAAAATAAGGACGCGTTTAAGGACTAGCTTGATAATAAAAATGAGGACGTATTTGAGGACTAGCTTGATAATAAAAATGAGGACGCGTTTAAGGAATAGCTTTAATAATAAAAACGAGTACGTATTTGAGGACTAGCTTGATAATAAAAACGAGAACGTAATTGAGGACTAGCTTGATAATAAAAATGAGGACGTATTTGAGGAGTAGCTTGATAATAAAAATGAGGACGCGTTTGAGGACTAGCTTGATAATAAAAATGAGGACGTATTTGAGGACTAGCTTGATAATAAAAATGAGGACGTGATTGAGGACTTGTTTTAATAATAAAAACGAGGACGTAATTGAGGACTAGCCTGATAATAAAAATGAGGACGCATTTGAGGACTATTTTTAATAATAAAAATGAGGACGTATTTGAAGACTAGCATGATAATAAAAATGAGGACGTATTTGAGGACTAGCTTGATAATAAATATAAGGACGCGTTTGAGGACTAGCTTTAATAATAAAAATGAGGACGTAATTGAGGACTAGCTTGATAATAAAAATGAGGACGCGTTTGAGGACTAGCTTGATAAAAAAATGAGGACGCGTTTGAGGACTAGCTTAATAATAAAAATGAGGACGTGTTTGAGGACTAGTTTTAATAATAAAAACGAGGACGTAATTGAGGACTAGCTTGATAATAAAAATGAGGACGCGTTTGAGGACTAGCTTTAATAATAAAAATGAGGACGCGTTTGAGGACTAGCTTGATAATAAATATAAGGACGCGTTTGAGGACTAGCTTTAATAATATAAATGAGGACGTAATTGAGGACTAGCACGATAATAAAAATGAGGACGTATTTGAGGACTAGCTTGATAATAAAAATGAGGACGCGTTTGAGGACTAGCTTCAATAATAAAAATGAGGACGCGTTTAAGGACTAGCTTGATAATAAAAATGAGGACGTATTTGAGGACTAGCTTGATAAAAAAATGAGGACGCGTTTGAGGACTAGCTTAATAATAAAAATGAGGACGTGTTTGAGGACTAGTTTTAATAATAAAAACGAGGACGTAATTGAGGACTAGCTTGATAATAAAAATGAGGACGCGTTTGAGGACTAGCTTTAATAATAAAAATGAGGACGCGTTTGAGGACTAGCTTGATAATAAAAATGAGGACGTATTTAAGAACTAGCTTGATAATAAATATAAGGACGCGTTTGAGGACTAGCTTTAATAATAAAAATGAGGACGTAATTGAGGACTAGCACGATAATAAAAATGAGGACGTATTTGAGGACTAGCTTGATAATAAAAATGAGGACGTATTTGAGGACTAGCTTGATCATAAAAATGAGGACGCGTTTGAGGACTAGCTTGATAATAAAAATGCAGAACGCGTTTAGGAACTAGTTTTAATAATAAAAAAGGAAAACGTAATTAAGGACTAGCTTGATAAAAAAAAATGAGGACGTATTTGAGGACTAGCTTGATAATAAAAATGAGGACGTGTTTGAGGACTAGTTTTAATAATAAAAACGAGGACGTAATTGAGGACTAGCTTGATAATAAAAATGAGGACGCGTTTGAGGACTAGCTTAATAATAAAAATGAGGACGTGTTTGAGGACTAGCTTGATAATAAATATGAGGACGCATTTCAGGACTAGCTTCAATAATAAAAATGAGGACGTAATTAAGGACTAGCTTCATAATAAAAATGAGGACGCGTTTGAGGACTATTTTTAATAATAAAAATGAGGACGTATTTGAAGACTAGCATGATAATAAAAATGAGGACGTATTTGAGGACTAGCTTGATAATAAATATAAGGACGCGTTTGAGGACTAGCTTTAATAATAAAAATGAGGACGTAATTGAGGACTAGCACGATAATAAAAATGAGGACGTATTTGAGGACTAGCTTGATAATAAAAATGAGGACGTATTTGAGGACTAGCTTGATAATAAAAATGAGGACGCGTTTAAGGACTAGCTTCAATAATAAAAATGAGGACGTAATTAAGGATTAGCTTCATAATAAAAATGAGGATGCGTTTGAGGACTATTTTTAATAATAAAAACGAGGACGTAATTGAGGACTAGCTTGATAAAAAAATGAGGACGCGTTTGAGGACTAGCTTTAATAATAAAAATGAGGACGCGTTTGAGGACTAGCTTGATAATAAAAATGAGGACGTATTTAAGAACTAGCTTGATAATAAATATAAGGACGCGTTTGAGGACTAGCTTTAATAATAAAAATGAGGACGTAATTGAGGACTAGCACGATAATAAAAATGAGGACGTATTTGAGGACTAGCTTGATAATAAAAATGAGGACGTGTTTGAGGACTAGTTTTAATAATAAAAACGAGGACGTAATTGAGGACTAGCTTGATAATAAAAATGAGGACGTGTTTGAGGCCTAGTTTTAATAATAAAAACGAGGACGTAATTGAGGACTAGCCTGCTAATAAAAATGAGGACGCATTTGAGGACTAGCTTCAATAATAAAAACGAGGACGTAATTGAGGACTAGCTTCATAATAAAAATGAGGACGCGTTTGAGGACTATTTTTAATAATAAAAATGAGGACGTATTTGAAGACTAGCTTGATAATAAAAATGAGTACGTGTTTGAGGACTAGTTTTAATAATAAAAACGAGGACGTAATTAAGGACTAGCCTGAAAATAAAAATGAGGACGCATTTGAGGACTAGCTTCAATAATAAAAATGAGGACGTAATTAAGGACTAGCTTCGTAATAAAAATGAGGACGCGTTTGAGGACTAGCTTTAATAATAAAAATGAGGACGTGTTTGAGGACTAGTTTTAATAATAAAAACGAGGACGTAATTGAGGACTAGCTTGATAATAAAAATGAGGACGTGTTTGAGGCCTAGTTTTAATAATAAAAACGAGGACGTAATTGAGGACTAGCCTGCTAATAAAAATGAGGACGCATTTGAGGACTAGCTTCAATAATAAAAACGAGGACGTAATTAAGGGGGGGCGCCTACTTTAGAAGGTAAAAAACTGCGTACATTTCAGGAATTTTTTTCTCAAACACATTTAAATAAATCGATGCGAGATTTAGTGTTTGTTTTCTTATATATTTAAACCTTTGAAATATAATTTTTTCATTAAATGAAAATAGAATTTAATAATAAAATAAACGCCATATATATAACGCATCGCTGCTGAAATTTTCCCATTGCGTACAACCTAGGGCCCACAATTCTTATCTAAAACAAAAAAACAAAATTTTTTCTTTAAATATACATTATTGCCTTCTGTATGAATCAAAAGATTTCAATAGAAAGTAAAAACTGAAATTTTCACATGACTTTTAAAAAAAAATTTAATTTTTGCCAAAAAAAATCTCATTTTTTCTTTAAAAGAAAGCATTAAATTTAACTCTATCAAAAACAAATTTAATTCATACAGAAGAGACACTCTTTATCTTCAAAACAAGCCCAAATAGACTTTAATCGGTTGATTAGATTTTTGTCTATCGTGTACGCAAACTACAAAAACAGTGTTTTGAGAAAAACGCGTTTAAAGATTGAA